TTTACATATTATTATTAATATCAGCATTTCAGCGGAAACCTTTTTTTGCCGATAAATGCCCCTAACGTTTCAATTTAAAGCTATTAAATCATTTCCATGTACATGTATATATAACTAACATAACATTGAGTTACATGATTAGTGTTGAAACTACAAATTAAAATTATTCAATATCGTGCGTGCGTGGGTGCGTGTATGGGTGTTTTAAGTAGCAAAATAAGCAAAATCAAGTAAAAGCGCTACGTGCATCTTAAATAAAAGGCTTAGCACCCCAGTCCATCACGCTTATATTTTTTCGTCGATATATACAAAATTTGATGGAGATTATATTTCATGTATGCTTATGCAACGTGATCATATGTCTTTGCAAGTTTTGAATCTGTTTTTTAAATCTTACACCACAGAGTATATTAAGTTAGTGCGGACGTACGTAACAACCAGAAGGGCTTAAGATAGGCCCACCTTTTATTATATCGATCGATTGAGAATCGTAATTTGAATTGATCTAAGCCTATCTTATCTGCCCGTCTGTCCACGTAAATTTTGAGTACAAGCTACAAGTCGCAATTTTAGAGTTATTTCAATGAAATTTGGTACAGTGACGTGTTTGGACCCAAGAACGAACGCTATTGAAAATGATTTGAGATCGGCCCACTTTTTCGACAACTTTTCATTATACGCCCTATTCTGAAAAAATCGTTATATGGAAAAAAAATGATAATATATAAAATTTCTCTGCAAAAGTGGCTTTGGGCGTTCTAAATTGGTATGGAAACTTTGGACCGCCCGGGACAATTTTTGAAGCCCCTCATATAACGAAAAGTGAAGTTCACACAACAAAAAGGTTTAATTTTTAACGCTTTATAATGAATATTATATTATAATAGTAATTTAACAGAAGCAAATTAAGTGTACCAAATTTGGACCATCTTGACCCATTTTCTGAATTCTGCCCCATTAGTTTACGTTTTGGGCCCCTCTTCTCCATAAACACGCACTTGAAAAATATGCCTTTATATGGAAACAAGATATAATTGTTGGGTTCTATCATAAAAATAAGAAGGCGGTGTAGGATATTTAATGGTCGGCCTTGCGCGACTATAATGTCCTTACTTATTACTATACGACCAAGCGATTACAATATTTGGAAATTTTTTTAGGTTTTTTCGCATTTCTTGATAATTTCGCTTGAACGTGAATAACAAGTACCTCTGGAGCTAATTGATTTATGTTTTTGTTTATTTTTTTTTTTTTTTAATTTTCGCTTCTGAAAACAACCTCCAAGTACTCCTTAGGTTCTAAACACACACGCAATAATAATGTGATTTAAAATCTCACGGTCGCATTCAACCTTTATTTTACTTGCCTTTCGATGACATTTTTTGGCTATTACAAAAGGAATAACAAAAATAGCTCATCCCACTGCATTAAAACGATCTGTTTAAGCAAAACTTTACAGAAAAAAGACGTAATATCCAAAGCACTTTAAGTCTTAAGAATAGAATATGTTATCTTTGCGATGGGTTTGAAGCCTCCTATGCTCAACTTGAATTTATAGAGCTTTTCTAGAAGAGAGAAAGAGAAAGAGAGAGAGAGAGAGAGAGAGAGAGAGAGAGAGAGAGAAAGAAAGAAAGAAAGAAAATTTCTTTTTAAAATTAAAAAAAAAAACCATGGAAAGATTGGGGAGGGGAAAAAATAATTTTTTTTTTTTAGTTATATTTGAATAGTTAAGGAGACTTCTGTTTCAGCAACGAGCCCAACGAGCCCAATTTTCAAACTGTCTGTTCACTTACACTCCGATGCGGATTTTTACCACACCCTAAAGGATTTGTAAAAAATGCGTCTTCCCTTTTCGTTTATTTTCATGAAGAGGTAAGAACTCTTTTCGCTATCACAAGCGAGTTTATATGGGGATCTGTTTCCTCTGCTTCCAGGGTTGATTTGTTGACGTAAACGTTTGGACAAGGATTCCAGTTTCTATATCAGATTTATAGCTATCTTTCGCTGCTTAAGCAGAACGGACCTTTTTAACTGTTGAACAAAACATTTTGAACTCCTAACGAAGAATAAAAAAAATGTGCACAATTTGTAAAACTGGAGAAACGGGCACACAATCAAAATGTCAATATCAACTATATTCATCGAACCTAATCAACTCCCGCATAAAAGTTTTTAAAAAAAGCCTGAGCATCGTGGGTTCGAAACCCAGTCAATCGCATTGTCTATTATTTGGAACTAACACAAAACGAATATATTTCTCCTTTTGATTTGATGGCATAATTTCGGAGCAAAATTGCAAAAAAAATCATAATAACGCTTACGTATATGTGTAAAGTGCAAATATATCCTTCTAAGATATCATATATAGCAAAAACTATTTCGTTACACTTTCCTTAACTTGAAAATAATTAAAAAGACATTGCTCGACATTAGATAGTCTAGTGGTTAGGATGCCCGCCCATTAGCCAGACGATCCAGGTTCGATTCATGATGCGGCAGACACATGCATTGTACTTCACTTATTTATGTATAAAATGGCCTATATTTCTAATGTGGTCTAGTGGTTAGTCGATCCCGATGTGACAGACCCATGCATTGTACTTTACGTATATATAAATAATATATAATATATAAAATGGCCAATGCTTCTAATCAATATCCATTATAATGATTATTAGCGATTATTTTCGTCGGTTGCTAATATCAGCGACACGCATGTGTATGTGCATCCATCTAATTTTTATACTTTATAGCACTTATGGTCTAAAAACTGAATGTAATAAAATTTTTAGAACGTAAATTAAGTTTCCGAAACTTTGGTCACGCCATGTGTAGTTTTGTGGTTATGTCCCATATGCGGGTTGTCTTGAAAAGTATGCCTTTGCATGAAAATAATGTGTAATGTAAATATTTGATGTATCATTACCAAAACAGGCGAGTCGATGTACAAGGCGAATTGGCGTAAAGTATTTAACGATCGGCTTTCCCTAACTGTAATGTTCTTACAGTTATTTTTATTATTTTGTTTTTTTTTGTTTTGTTAATGCTTTTGCATAGCTTTCAAGTGGTACGAAAATTGAAAATTTTTTATAACCGTCAAAAATACATTTTTAGTATATATTAAATAAATGCGGAACATTTGAATGGAATAGTAACGGTAGTTGGATCCTCGCCCATATAAGGATATGGCTATAATTTGTTGTAATTTATGTTGAAATTAAGGCAAAAACAAAAATTTGACTTCTAAATTATAATAAGTAAAAAATATGTTTCGATCCCATAGGACTCTTGTTAGTTGTCATGGCATGAAGCAACAACGTGTAGTTTTGAGTAGCTTATACCCTCGAATAGGCGAAAAATTGTAGTGAGTGAGGTGATATAAGGCCTATAATAGTTGGTCTTGACCGACTATACCGTTTCAACTGCCCTAAAATTGATAAATAATATCCCTTCTTAATATGTTCCGTTCGATTAGTTCGGTTTTTAAAAAAACCCTCGTCGAGAATTTATACGCGTAGCATATGTAAATAGACACACGTATACGTATACCGTATCGAACACTTTTATATTACTATTATATTATTATTATATATATATTATTTTCTGTTAAGTGAATTCGCTATGCTATGCTATGCTTTTCTAGTCAAATGACAATGTGTGTGTATGCAATCCACCAATGTTTTAGTAAATTGAAAAAATTGCAATGAAACATAAAAACGTGAAGTGCACATGGAAACCACATGTTATTGGCCGCAGGTAATGTGGAAAACATTTAACAGCAAAACACGATAAGAGTTTTTTGTCAGCGGCAAACAATAGAGCCATTTACTCTTTCGGCGAGGTCGATGTGTATGTATATGCATTGCGATCATACAGGAGTGTATTAATATTTGATTGTTTACCTGCCGTCGAACGTTTCTATCAAAGTTTTGATCCAATCATATATACGCGGGTTGTAAATCATTTATTTCTATCTAATCTCGATTTAGGTTCGTTCGGCACACCATTCTCACCTCTTTTTAAAATTGTTGCCTACGGAACTAAAGCAGAAATATAGGTAGCAAGTTTCAGCATTCAATTTAACGAAAACAGAGAAAATTCAGGCGGACATGTACACAAAATTGGTTCGATATTTTTCCATTAAGAGTAACACTCTATCTTTACTTCGGAACAACAATTCCATTTACATTTTTATTCACAGAACTTAACACGGAAAGTGATTATTACCTTTTTCCTCTACCCGGTAATGACGAGTGCAATTGTATGCTAACTAAAGAAGGTGTGAACTTCCGTCTTTTAATATTTTTAAACAAAACAAATAAAATTACAATTGTTCCGCTTCATTTGCTTTTAGATTGCGGAAAATTGATCTGGGTGATGCTAACAATTAAATTTGACTTAAATTTACGACTGCAGTTGGCACCAAATTCCGCTTTTTGAACGAAAAAAAATATTTCAATAAATTGAAAAACAATAAATAATTTCATTCACAATTATTTCTTATTTATTTTAATAAGAATTGTTAATTTTTATTTAGTTAGTTTCTCGTAATATCACGTAATAATGCAATGAAAAGAAGTTTTTATGTGTCTTTTGCTATCTCAATATTTCAATCAATATGAAAGAAGATTGGCCGGAGAGGAGGAAGGGCAAGAAGGCGAGAGGGCAAAAAGGAAAGTTAATGATTCAAGAAACCCAAAAAAAAAATAAATAAATAAAAAAAAAATAAAAAATAACAGCATTGAGATTACAATAACAATTCTGGCGAAAATATAAACGAATAAATCGTTTGTGAAAAATATCACATCAGACGAACAAACGTCCGGTCTGATTGAGAAAAACTACTCTTTTTTTTAGAAATTCGACATTATTCATCAAGATACTCTTCTTCAAAAATTACACATTCACATGCCGACATGATCGGGGTTTTCAAGTGCCTCACTCCAATCAATAATGGTTGATTTCACTGCTACCGAGTCTCTGTAACGCTTTCTATCACGTCACTGTTCAGCTTCACGAGTATTTTCAATCATGACACATTTCTTTTTATCCGTTGTTTGGAAATTTATGCAACTGGAATCAGTAAACCCACTGTAAATTGAAAAATAATTATCAGAAATTATCATGAAATTATGATACGAAAAGGTTAATGCTATGCAGTAATTGTCAACTGCGTCCCTATATATGCGTTAGACCGAGAACTTTTTGAGCGGTATAATAATGAGCTTTAGCATACTAATATAGCCAATGTAAGAAGAAATTTTTAAAAAGTAAGACACGTATAATGGATTTTGGAATCTATGATACCCACGGCACTTCAAACCAATAGGTAAAAAATGGAGAGATCGTTTCTTAATTAACCGATTAACGAACTTTTGTGCCTGCATTGACTAATTCGCAAATTTCTCAACTCAATCTTAGAAAAAAATGCATTTTATACATAAGTCCATCCTATTTTGACCTATAGCATATACCTATGAGGAACGGCCAGTAATTCTAATGTTGAAATGCACCGAAAAAATATCAGTCCACAATTCTCCATCTTAACGTGAATGCTCCGCGATCTGTTAGCAAGAAAACTATTCATAATAATCTGGATTTTCAATTCAACGCATTTGTTCAAAATATCTTATCATGCTGATTATTCATGTAAATCCTTTCGCAGTTATGACGTATTTCGGATGATGAATAATAAGTCGATGAATAAGCACCAATTTTTCTAAAAGTCAATAAGACAAATAGGTAACAATCCAAATTTCTTAGGATTTCTTTTTGTTTTTCAATTCAAGTTTATGCGAGTTACATGGCATGTCACGAGTATAGCTGCGGTGGTGTCATGTTTTATTATTATTCATATATATATATACATATATATATATATATATATTTATAACCTCCCCCGAACGTTATTACTCTATTACCTTTCCTTCCATTTCAAAAACGAAAAAAAAAACCTAAAAGACCTAAAGAAAACTTAGTGCAAGGACCTTATTTCTTAAGGCGAATGTAACTTCATTATAGTAATTTAAATATCTTAACTATTGTTAAATTTTTTTTTTTTTTTTTTTTTTTTTTTTTTTTTTGAGAATATATACCAAGTCGTCCTTCATTTAGGTACGGTACCGGAGAGAGCAAGGAGGTTATGATACAGCTAAAGATCTGATCTAAATCGAATATTGTTTTCAAAATGATACGTTCTTGATATCAAATGTTTATTTTGATTTTGGAAACAACAAGAAACAAAGAATCAAAATCAGCAACAAATATGCGTGCGGCTGTTATGTTGGGAACGAGAAACTCTGTATTCAATGCAGTACGACTTGTTTTTGAATACAAAATAGAAGAAGTGTTTTACGAATGTTTATTTAGATTAAACTATAAAAGTCTCTTCGAGCTCTGCTGTACAAATTCACCCAAAAAAACCAATTTTTCACTTTTTCGGCCATTTGAAAAACAACTCTCGGCTATGCAAATATTTATACGCTTGTGATACGGGTTTGTTTTCTTTTTATTGAAATAAAATTAATTAAAAAAGAGGAAGCCAGTGAAGTGTGTGCAGTTATGCACAGAAAGATGGAAGATGAAAAAGACGCCTGACTGGCGGCATTTATAATATATTGTTTACTATGAAATCAACTTGCATGCTTGGATCTGATCCAACCGCCGTCTCTTCAAACTAAACTGTTTGTTAAATAAGAAAAAAAAAAGTGGCTTTTGTTCATATTTACGGTATTTTCTTTGTTGCCTTAGAAGGTTGAGATGTACGTATCCATGCATGTATGTATCTAGGTATGCATATATTGCAAATTTATTTATTCTATTACAAGTAAAATAGATAAGTGGAAATGACTTTCAAGGATTTTTTAAAGAAGAAAATTGAAAAAGATTTTAAAAGGTCTTGAGTTGTTACTTCTGTTCGGCGGCAAGGTGGGAGTAGCATAAATAAATCCTTTTATTTAATGCCAAACCAATAAATGAGCGAAAAAATAATCATTTATTGCTGTATATGGGTATAAATATAGATATGCCTACATATTAAAAATCAGTTAAATAAGTGCAGCACATGAAGCGTAAAACCGAACGAAATACACATTTGGTAAAGAGTATTCAAAACATTTATATATATATATATATATATATATATATATATTTACGTTATATATATATACGTTACGCCATGGTATGCACCCAGTAAAAAGAGTCTCTCATGTACGAATAAAGTCATTTGTCTTGAAATTAGATTGTTTTGTTAACTTTGAATGGAATTCGCTCACATCATATGCATGTGAGTATAGTTAACGTTAAAGTAAAAGTGACTTCAATTTATTACCTACACTACCTGTGGTACAGTATATATATTTAGTTTGTGCAGACTACGGTTGTTGTAACATCCAGAAGAACTTGAGACAAACCCACCTTTTATTATACCGACCGAACTAGATTCGGGTTTTTTATGCGCCCACATAAAAATAATTTATAATTTTTGCTGTACTATTAGTTAAGCAAACTGATTAAGGGTATCTAAGAGTCGTCGTTCCCTGGCTATGGTCTTCTTGCTTGTTTAAAAAAGAAATCGTTTTGCGCCAGCTGTCTCGTTGTGCGATTACCCGTACACGGTTTACATAAAATTCTGTTTCCTTTTTCGAATGTAAACGCTTTTCCATAAATCAATTACAAAACAAAAAAGAAGAAAACAGAAGAAGAACAATCAAATAATTAAACAAAACGATTTTAAAGATGATATAGAAAAATAGAAGCAAAGCCTATTAAAAGACGAAAAAAGATGATAGAAGAGAAACTTTCTCCCCCACGCTTCAATAGTCGACAAGGAAACCAACTTGGCTGTCTATCTCGCTATCTGTCTTCGTAAGTCATGCATATAAGCATTTATTTCTTTATTTTTTTAAGTTCTTTTCATTTTCGTTTATTACTTTTACAATTCGCAATGGAAACGGAAATATATCCAGCGAGAAAAGTGAAAACGCACATAAAGTAGCAGATATTAAATGAATTGAATTGAGTTGAGAATTGAATTAAGCTGAGCATCTGTCTTCGATAGTGCACGAACGCCAGCAGCAGCAAGTGGAAGTGCTCGCACTATATTTAACTTGCTATAATAATATTAAGAAAAATATCGTACGAACGACCTATAATTTATGATTACTTCTTGCAACGAAATTTTGTCACGGGGAGGAAGGCAAAAGATATTTAAAATATATTTATGTAAATTTTTGCCTTCTCCATCGTTATTACGCTTAAAGGGCAGGAATAAACTTGAGAGCACTTAGGGAACAAAAACACAATCCAAAACGAATTGACGGTAAAAAGCTCAATATTTCGTGGAATACAAAAAAATAAAAAATTTTAAACCTATACTGAAAAAACAAATTGTTTACACCTTACACTACTACTTATCATACGGTAAGTGACTATTAGGTTTATGCGAATGTTCGCAACACTTCGAAGAATTCGTGAGATAGACTCACTTTTTACCACAGCAGATTTATTTCCAGAATCGATTTATGCATTTCTATGCGTCTCTCCGTCTATTCAACACACAAGTCGCGTTATTCGTGGTATTTCGATTGAATTTGCTGGAGTGATGTGTTTTGATCCGCGTTGGAATTTTATTGATAATCTATCTGTTTTTTTTCTTACCTCTTTTTTATATGAACCAATCAACCAGAGGATGACCTCTATTCGTTCAACACGGTAATGGTCAGTAAGTGCTATACCTTTACCAACTGAGCACTCACTACAGTTACAAGAAAAATAAAGTCTACCGCACTTGAGATTTAAACCCTTTAACACTGATTTGACAGTCGCGATTTTTACCTGCTAGAGCAACTCAGGTGAATGATTTGCGATCATTCTTCGTATAAAGTACTATTTTGAATAAGTCGGCATCAATCAATGAAAAGTATTGCATCTTCATGCTAAACAAAAATTTGGATAACATGGGATCCTCACTTGAACTCCTTACCATATATAACTGTTCTTACAAAAAATAAAACAATTTTCCGCGTTTTAAAATCAAAGTTAATGCAAAACGATCATTTGAGATATCAATTTATCATGGCATGTTTAGACTACTGCATCAAGCCAAAATTTAATTTTTATTAATCCTCAAAATCCTCATTTGACATACCCCCGTATCGCAATAAATTTAGGTATAAGTTTTAGATTTTTCGGATCCATCGACGTGGTATAGAAGTTTAAGCAAAAACTAAAACAACATAAGCAATAAAAGTCGTAATCTCGGGTAACTTATAAGGGAAACATTGTTGCACCAATTGTTACAAATATTTTTCAAGACCTTAGAAAAATTCACTGTAAACTCATTACCGAACAGTAAATTAATCCATCAACAATTACGACGAGCAATAACATATCAGTATACCGTAATTATATAATGAATACCAATGTTCTGAATAACGGACATATTTACCCTTCCTTTTTTAATCTAATTTGACCGCTTTTCCCATTCGTGATTTAACACAAACCTACACAGAAACATATCGACAATTTTGTTTTCTTTTGATCATTAATTAGGTTGACTGGCAAAGAAAACTTTCACTACAACGAATGTGATTGATTTCCTTATTACTTTTAAACGAACTCGAAAAATCGAGGTGTCTATTTCATTAAAAGCGAAAGAAGTTCGCCGAATCTGTCGCAAGCTTCAGTTAAAGAACAAATGCAATTTAATCTAGAATTTGCATATCATTTGATTTCAATGCAATTAAATTGAATGAACATCGTTGGCAAGTAATTAAAATGTAAGAGGAATTAAATGCTAAAAAAGCAACTTACCATACGCACAAAAATAACTGCATTATGTAAAACAAGTCCGCGTAAATAAATTAGCATAAAAAAAAAATATGTATATATATATATATATATATATATATATATAATATATATAAGTATATATGTATATATTTTATTAAAATACTATAAAAAGTGCAGAAAGGAAATTCATAAAAAATGAAAGCAGAAAATGCCGGGACGACACCGAGATACAATGCGCCCGACCTAATTATTGTATACAACATTCATGTACATTCAACAGGGTACACAAATACTTGACTCAATATTTGTATATATCTGCAAAATTGTTGTAGCCATGCGTACAATTACTACAATGTTTTACAATTACTTCGAAAACAACTCCGTCTATAGTACAACTGCTTGTATTTGATTATTCTTAATTTAAACTTAATTTAATTTATGACATACAAGGTATCTATGCTTGTTTGTTTATTTGTCTGCATTTAATTATTCAGCTCTAATATTACATTGGCTGGGATATAATGTGAATGAGTTCAATGCAATTTACTATGCATTAAATTTTAACGAAAATTTACAAACGGAAAAAGACTCCTAATATAAAAAAATGTAAAACTAAGATAGAATGGCTTACACTGATTGGTGAATTTATTGACTTTTTTATTGCTTTCAAATCATCAAGCGATCAGTTTCGACCGGTAACCGTACGATGTCAAAGAAATGGAAAATGACAATAGAGGGAAGAAGAAAACCACGCTTCTTTACCGGCACATGTATAGTACTTTTTTTTTCACAAGTCATAAACGACCAGAAAATTCCATTTTCCAAACACACCCGGGGAATTGTAGCACAGATGTTTTGTTTGCGCTCAAAGTTGATAATGAGGCAAACGCGAAATGGATTGCTGCTGAAAAGAATTTTAAAAACAATCCTATTACGTTCATTAAAGTATTCGAAGCCATTAAACCGATTGTACGTTACGGATATTGTACACAAGAGGTAAAATACAAATTTCCTCAAAATTGAATTTTGAAATGTTGGGTCATGGTCATTGGATCATGTCTTTGGACTAAGCCAGTGAGAAAGGTGGCTTGAATGCGTAGACAATGGAATTTGATGAGTATATGCAATGCATGTATATATTTATTTTTAAAATTAAAAGAGCAAAGCTGAGGCCATGCATTTCCGTGAAACTTTAACTGCAGTTTAATTATAGGGTTTGCTATTGACCTTCATAAGATATTTTTAATAAGTCGTTTAAAATTCATCTATTCTCTGGCCTATTTCCAAACGAGTTTCTTTAAACTATTTTTTCGAAGCAAAAAAAACTCTACGCTGGTCAATATGGTTATATTCGTTTCACAAGACATTTTGTGCAAAATTTTACAATTCAATGAGAAGATAAGAGGAGAGGAAAACCTTGCGCGAATTGTGGCGCTCCCATTAAATTTTTGTAGTAATTTTTTTCTAATTGAAAATTTCAACAGGAACCTTCAGGTGAATAAATGAACTGATATTACTTCACGTTGCCCGCAAAGTAAGAATTCTTTAATGTGCTGCAAACAAGAAGATTAAAATGGTTTGACATCGAAGGGAATTAAAGGCGAAATGAAATTAGTATATTAAGACCAATTTTCCCCCCACTAAACTGTCATACGTTGTATCCTGCTACTGACTAGTACATTAAGTAATTTAGGTTAATTTAACGCCAACAAAAACTGTGCCATTCTACCCATTCATGAAGACATTCACCTCCTTGACCTCAGAGACGACAATGCGGGCCCATTTAAATAATGCAGAATTTAAAGCATTTCTTTAGCTCAATGTTCCTTAAAGAAAACATTAAATACTTACGCTTTACTTGAACTAAGACATAGCGAACTGCAGCATATGTCATTGTTGACACACATCAATTTGCTTTAATGATTATAAGTCTAAAAAGCCGAATTCGTTTAGCTCTATTTCAGGTATTTACTTTTGACATGGATTACAATGTAGCGAACTACATGCAGCTGCGTCGCAATGAACTTTCACACACTATACACATTGACCAACCTTAAAGAATTCAAAAATCTAGAAAGCGGTATTCCTTTATCTCTATTTTTCTAAAATTCGAACATTAGATACTCTCTCTTCTCATAAACTACAACACAAGGAACTATACACCACCACTGTATCACAGTGAACTAAAAGACGATGTGAAACCAAATTTGTTTACCTCGATTTTTATTAAAGTAACCATCAGATGGTTACTCTCTCTCTCTCTTTCTCTTTCTCTCTCTCTCTCTCTCTCTCTCTCTTCAAGTAAACTGCAACGTAGCGAACGACCACACGCTATCAACGTGAAGTACTTAAAGGGCTCTGAGTTGAAGCAATTTCTCTAGAAGTGAACATTAGATACTTACCCTTCACTTAAGCAAGTGAATTTCTATATGTTATTCGTTCAACTTGTCTCGCTTCTTCCCTTATGTCTTTCTACTCATATAAGAAATAACCGAGAAAACACAAACAAATGTATATATTAGGTTGGGGGAAAAGATATCCATTATTTTTATATGAACTTCAGGACTTTATTTAACATGCTTCGGATTATCCGATTTGGGTCAAATATGCACCGTTTTGTTCTATGATTTGCTGCCATTTTAAAGGTAACTTCAAAATGTCTCTCTCATAGAAATCCTGGTCTCTATTTGCAAAAAACTCTAGTAGTCGATTTTCACAATCCTCCCTAAATTCAAATTTTTTATCATTAAAGAAATTTTGCAATGCAAGAAAAAGATGATAATCGCTTGGTGCCAAGTCCGGACTGTATGGCGGATGCATTAAAACTTCCCAACCAAGCTCCCGAAGTTTCTGGCGAGTCACTGTAGATGTGTGTGGCCTAGCGTTGTCCTGGTGGAACACGACACCTCTCCTGTTGGCCAATTCTGGCCGTTTCTGGTCAATCGCTATCTTCAAACGGTCCAGTTGTTGACAGTAGAGATCAGAATTTAGCGTTTGGCCATATGGAAGCAACTCATAATAAATAATCCCCTTCCAGTCCCACCAAATGCATAGCAAAACCTTCCTGGCCGTTTGAGGTGCTTCACCGCTCTTTGACCACGATCGTTTTCGCACATGGTTATCGTATGTGATCCATTTCTCATCTCCAGTCACCATCCGTTTAAGAAATGGGTCTATCTCATTCCGTTTGGCCAAGGCTTCGCAGATGGAAATTCGATCCATCATGTTTTTTTCTGTTAATTGGTGTGGCACCCAAACATCGAGCTTCTTTTTGAATCCAGCTTTGTGCAAATGGTTTAAAACTGTTTTATGGTCGATTTTTACCTCCTGGGCGATGTTACGACTGCTAACATGTCGGTCACCTTCGATCATTTCTCCGATTTTATCGACATTTTCGACGACCGGCCTACCTGTGCGAGGTGCATCTTTAACATCAAAAATTCCTGAACGGAATCTACGAAACCAAAATTGCACATAATTGGCTGGTACAGTATCGGAACCATAAACACCATTCACAATTTTAGCCGCCTTGCTCGCATTTTCGCCTTTGTCAAAGAAAAACTGTAAAATGTACCGAATTTTCTCTTTGTTCACTTCCATTTATAACACGCTGTAACTCCCAACTGAATGCACCAAACAAAAATCAGCAAAAGAATTTTTTTTACTGCGAAATGTCACCTTTCCAACAAGCCTAAATCTGAAATTGTTTGATCAATACTTTACGAGAAATCTACCAGTGCAGCCATCTACCGAAAAAATAATGGATTTCTTTTCCCCCAAACTAATATTTTATCCATAAAATATATCATTCACGGATTTAGTTCATATATATTTATTTACATGGACTCATAATAAATAGTTTGTTTCTCCAAAAAAGCGCTGACTTGCAGCCATTTATAAGGCATCCGTGTAAGATACGTGAGTGTAAGGTACACCTACATATACAGGCATTTAATTATTGATAAACATTTGTTTGCATGTATATATATATATATATAATGTATACACGATAGAATATGAAAATTTTTATGGCATGTTTTATGTATTTAGCGATTGTTAAACAAAATTTAATTATTACATTTCGATCCAAGTAATATCGCTGGAGAAGAAAAACGGAAAGGGGAGAAGACGAGCGAAAAGAACGCAGCGCATATTATAATAAATAAACCTTACATAAGTCTCTGAAATTTCAATTTTTTTTTAGAGAACAAATAATTTAAAATGTTGCAAAACTACTTGAGAAAATATTGAGAAATCAAACGCTTACCTTAACGATTGATTTTTGTTTCGCTTGTATTTCTTCTATAAAAAATCGTGAACAGTTTGACACTCAATTGACTTTCTGGCCCATAATAACTTTTAATAATTTGCTTTAATCACTTATTTATAATTTTTTGTAATATATTTTTTTAACAATTGACAATATTTGCTCTCTTCACACAAACTTTTAATTAATTAATTCAATTAATTTCTTATTAAATAATTTGCTTTAGCGTATACTGACACTTAAGCCCCGGTTCATTTATGCATTTATTTATTCATAGTTTCTTCTTCTTTGTGATGTTATGAAAACATTTGTTTCTGAAAGCTTCACACTAAGCACAACTTCCAGTACAAAATTGAAGCTTACTCTGCGTGCATAAACATAAGTGCTTTCCATTCTAGTATTGCTCTGTTGCAATCACATATCTCATCTTATTTTTGATTATTACAAATTTATTCCTTCACAAGAGGAACGTATAGATATGAAGTTAATGCTGTTATTAATATTGTCTTTCTTTTATGGCATTCTTTACAGAACGTTGAGCACACAATACCGATGGTTGTTGTTGTTGAGCGAAGAAATCTGAAAATAAATTTAAGAGAAAAACAGTTTTTTGTTTTTTTTTTGTTAATATTGTTGTGCTTCACAAAATCGTGTTGAAATCAATTAATATCTATTTTGAATCAAAACAAACGAGATTATGACAAAATTATTTAAAATTCCTAAATTAAAGTAATTCAGGCATGAATCTTTGACAAGGTTGGATCTTTTGCAAGGCTTCGCAAGCAAAATTTTTACAAAATTGAGTGAGTGAGAAAAAAAAAAATATGATTAAAAAGAGAAAAATTAGTACACTCTGTTTCTTTTTTCTTTCTTTTTTAGGACATTCGCTCTTTACTTAGTAACATATCTGCTGTACACACGCTGCTCCTTGTATTTATTTAATTGACCACAAAATTATAGTCAATAAAAAAGAAATATTTAGTAAATAATTTTTTCCATTGTTTTTATTTATTTATTCATATATTTACATATATACATGTTGTGCTTTTGTACATATAGCGAACAATTTCGCCTCCTATCTCGTTCTGCTCGCATGTGTGCTTAAACGAGAAAAGTTGCGGTTTCATACGCGATACAGTATTCAACCCACATGTGCACACGGCCACATTTAACCATATAACCCGAAAACAAACTGTTCTGTTTTCTTTCAAACGAGAATGTGTTGTGTAGAACAGCGCCATAGGTTATAAGGAGATTAATAAGAACAATACTGAAGCAGGAAAAAAATCAGCAAATTATGTAAACATGAGACCTTCGGTACTAAGTAAAATTTGCTGTAATGTCCGTTTATATATGCCTATCACGCAATGACGCTCGGAAATACCTTAAGTTCACGGCTTTCGTTTCTTTGATGATATGAAGACGCGTGTATGAGAAGGAGAGAGGACAAAGAAAAACGAATAATATGCGTAAGAGAACATGTTTTAAAGGCATCGTTTAATTATTCACTTTCTATATAAAAAGTCCACCACTTGTTTCGAGTCAATTTTCAACAACAGTTTGAACTTATGTAATGATAGTCAAAATTTTATAAATCTTGTATTTTTGTATATCGTGCCCTACTGTGATGATTTCATTGGAAAATGTCTACTACTCACAAAGAGTATATTTAATATGAAATAAGATTATAATAAAATAACTTCACAAAATGACGTCCACATCTTCTAAAATATATCATTATGTCAGACATACATTCATAATGATGGAAATTTATGAGGAAATCCGACAAGGACGGATGGACGAATGAATCGTGATGTATATATTCGTCATAATACAAAATTTCTTTTTTTGCCATGACATATATATGTTAAGGTATATTAAACTTGTGCGAATGTATACAACACCCAGAAGGACTTCACATGGATTCATTGTTTATTACATCAATCGATCCACAATCATTTCTCGAATCTATCTAAACATGTCTGCTGCTCGTATATTCTATGCTGGAACAACGACGAACAATATTGCAAATGGTTTCTTTTAAAGAAATCATCGGATACGGAATTCTAATGTGAGTATGAAAGAATTCGAAAGAATTTTTTGAACTTACCTCAATCACATACATTTTTAGCATTTTAGGAAGCAAATCATTCCAAGATTTATTATGCTAAATTTGAATCATATTGGTCTCCTCTTCGGATCCCAAAGAAGAAGAAAAAGATTTTCAAAAGAAGTAGGTGTTTACACTACACTAAAGTTTCATGTTTGGTATGCTATGGTGAAAATAGATTAAGAATTTCATCAGGCAAAGTGGTATAGTAGTATAACGTTTAGTAATCGGCCTTGCTCAACTACAACGTTTTAACACTTGAAACTTATTCGGAAACTCATCAAAGCATAAATTGTAAACCGGACCAAGAATTCGCTTCCGAACTAGGTTTTAGCTATACGTGCTATAGGAAGACGACTTGTAACACCGATGAGAGCACGTTTACATTGCTATCATAACGAAAAATATTTTATTTGTTTATAAAATGCATTGATTAAAAATTAATATAATCATTTCCCCATTTATAGGTGGAAGGACGAAAGCAATGAAATAATTTAAAACAAGTGAAAACATTACTATCGGGCAAAGCCCGAAATTAAATATTCTACACGACTTCAACTTATAAATCTTTTAATAATAAAACAAAGTTTATAACTTGTTCTCATATCAAAGTTTATAACTTGTTCTCATACACATACTCGGTTTGTTAAAGGACTTATTGCTCTCGATTTATTTTCTTTTTAAAATACCAAAAATTACCCCTTGTTATCATATGAAAATCTATTCTCTGTAGTTACATTCATATGAGAGAGAGTTCAAACATGATCTCATCCCCCTGAAATCTAGCAAGTTTATTTTTTCGTCAGTTCTTATCCAAAACTATTAAAATTTGCAAATTTTATCAATGGAATCTTACGTGAGGAATACTCGTTAAAGTACTCTGATCCGATTCATTTTCAACATAGCTTGTCTTTCAAACAAAACAGGTCCATGTATCAAATTTTATCAAAAGAGCTTGAAAATTGCAAGTAGAAAGCAAAACGATATGTAGATATGTTAGACAAAGGGATGAAAAGAGTTTCTTAATCACTGGGAACAAAACGAGTGCGTTTCAAATCCTTTTGGGTGTTACAAACGTTCTCACATACTGAATATAGCTTTGATATATGGTGTAAAAACTATCCGCCGTGAATACCATTTAATTTTCTTCTCAATTAAAGGGATATTGTAAATCGGTTTGTCCATGTCCATCAGTCCATCCATAGTTCTTTGTTGAAAATCTCGCGATCTGAACAATGGAAAGCGTGAACTTTATATACCCACCGTATCGGTAATAAGACTGATTAGTGGATCAGTCCAATTGCATAAAAAATTTAAATCGTTTGTTTACTTATATTTCTGTACAACTTTACACCAACTTTCAGAATATAGGCCAAATTTCAAAATTTTTATATATATGGTTTCGAACCGTATGAGAGTCCAATAGTCTGGCAATTATATCAATTCGTATGCATTACGAACTCTATTTATTAAAGGGATTTGACCTCGAAAGCTTCTGTCTGTACATATAATTTGCTCATGTTAAAGAAGATTGATAACAGTAGAAAACGTGTTGGATACTTCGACTAGCTAGAGAACAACTATTAATCATTAGATGAGTAATTAAGAGAATAACCAAAAAAACGTGTGATATTTCCAGTCAATTACTTTATGAATCTATATAAAAACAAGAAAATTGCACTTCACTTATAGCTTGAAAACAAGTAAATACATGTAAGAAAGTTAGATGAGAACACATAAGTCGTCACACCACCCAAAGAACTTCTATACAAATTATAAGTAAAATACCATTCGTAGATCTATCGCACCAGGAATCGAACATGACGTCTTCCGGCCTATGGGCGGGCATCCTAACCAGTAGGACATACTATAACCATGTAAAGGCGAGCAATTTATTTTTAAGTTTCTTTAGATTAAGGAAAGCAGAACCTTGCACTTGTTGCTATACGATATCATAAAAGGAAATATATGCGCTTTTCACGCACACGTAAGCGTCGTTAAGACTTTTTTGCACAAGAACATTTTTCTTCAAACTTAGTAAAGTGAGTATACTTATTAAAGAATTTATTATTCTTCAACAATATTCACCAATTAAGTGTTAGGCTTTACTGCTATATAAAGGTTAACTTTTTTGTAAGAATTTTAGGAATATCGGGAAAATTGCGATCTTTGGGCTGGACAAAAGCACTCATATATAGACGTTAGGCAGGCGGACGGATAGAGATGCTTTATTCCGTTTAAGAAAAAATATTCTTAAGCGAATGGGCTATTAATAATTTTAGAAGTTCTTTTGGAAGTTGCAAAGATCCACTCAAACTTAATATGGTCTTACCATGCATCCTAACCTATAAAAACATATATTAACAAAAAAAAAAAATTTATTTAACTGATAGAACATTTATTCAAATTTGGAAGCGAAAATACTATTTGTAAATATATCGTCTCCTTGCACCAATTACTAATACCTATTAGCGAAATGAAAAATGGGATAACAATCTGTCATCTGACGCCACGTCATTTAATCGAATGAACGTATTTTATATTAACAAGAAACCAAAAGTTAGCCTGCGGTTATTAGTCGATAAAGTTGGTCGCGAAGATTCAGCTTTTCAGCTCGATCTTTGCTACCGTAAGAATTACCTCACAGAAAATATTGAAGGACAATTAAAGACTCTAACGGTAAGATAAATAAGTCTCTGACTGCCCATTACGAGTGCAATGATAACTTTAGCACATATCCCTCCATCAGAGTGGGTATAGTTGTCAGAAATTAGCAAAGAACTCAACACCTGATAATGCTGTTAACAAAAAAAAAAAATCAATCAAATTTTTTATATGACCACCAAAGCCAGACAGATCCTTGATAGAGTTAGTTCATTGATTACCCGAACCTCACAATTACATTTTCATTTACACATATATACACTACATACGAGGTTTTCAAATTCCATTCGTATTAACGAAAGTATATTTTCACTACAGTGTAAAGTATGAAGTGTATTTTGGGTATGAGTTGAAATCAAATGAAAAATCATATTAAGGTCCAGGGTCACTTAAGTTCCAGTAATGGAAAAACAAAATTCATCTTCTTGCTTTTTGTACCCATCATTATATACTCATTTTGTTTTTTTTCCAAAATATATGTAAAATTCAAAAGGAAGCTTCAGACATCCTACAAAGTATACATATTCCTGATCAGCGTGAAATTCCGAATTGATTTAGCCACGTCCGTCCGTCGCTTGATTTGAGTGGTGTTTGCTGTTGACACTCTCCTGGTCGCAAATATGAAGATATCGACTTCAAATTTAGTAGAAACACTGGCAATCTTTGCACGCAGGTTAGTCTTGAAAATAGGACAAATTAGTGAGAGCAGAAGTGCGTGGTGGAGCGTAAACTGAATACAACTCCGTTTTTTTGAACAAAAATCTGTGGATATTTGCTCGTTACTCAGAAATTATTACAGTTAGAATGTTGACTTCTGTTACATTTGCTTTACGAGACACTTTAATCTCTAAGTCGAAAAATGGAACCAATCGGCCAAGCCCACACAAACTCAAGAATAAGTAATTTAATTTTTCTCACTCTTTTGAGGCTTAATGGTTATTTATCATAAACCAACCCAGACAAGACGTTTAAACCTATTTTGTACACTCGTCAAATGAAGATATATTATCTGCCTAAAAATGGCTTAATTTTAGTATGAATATGGTAGACACCGCGATTAATTTTTCTTAATAACACCGGCGATATGGGTACCAAATAAAAGAATTTCGAGAGTAAAATGCGAAATGCAGAGTGGTGGATATGTGAGTTTTGGCCCCCGTCGAACATAAGTTTCTTATTTGTTTATCATAAATTAGTGATCGAAAATGCAGTAAAAAATAAAAACTAAATTAACGTGCAAACAACTAAAGAGCATAGAATTAACATTGTGCTTATGGAAAATATATCATCTGTATGAAATTGCAAAGGCGGGCAAAAATATCTTTAAATAATTCCAATTTTTTTTTTTTTTTCACTGTCCAATGTTCATTATATATCTATATATATAAATTGAAATCAATCACTTAGTGATTGCAATTCAAATTCTGATTGATTTGACAAAATCAAAGAAATCACGTACTATTGGAGGAAAAAATGAAAAAAATGTTGTGTAGAGTTATTTTGCCTTTCAACGAAATCATTATCGTATGTTCCCCAGGTTAATGAAGAAGTCTTTTTAATATATTTAAATTTTTTTTTGGTAATGACTTCATTTTTTTTTTTAGCGAATTGAACGTACTTACGAAGGCATTTGTAGATTTATATCAAAAATGTTTCGTAGAAAGTTTTACGTTTTGATTATTTAATTCCACTTTGACTAAAAATCATGAGAGATCCATGTAAGCTTAAGACGACATATGGTTACAATCATCTCACTAACGCGCTTACAATTAGTAAATAAATCAGTCCACATCGGATACAATTTAATCATATCATCATCATATGTACATTTATATTTGTATATATGTGTATATATGAATATATCTATATATGTATATATGATCCGCCTGAGTTGCATAGTAGGTAAGGGACCTTGACTAACAACTCAAAGACCGTGGGATTCAAACCTCAACTTCGGTGGAGTGTTCAATAAATCTGACCAGCCTTAGATGCTAGTGATGTAAGACTTTGCCCTTAAAATTTATTTCTCCAGTTAGATTAATTATAATAACAATAACAATAATATATATATTTATATACGAAGTGTGTTCAAAAGAAAAGGTGACTTTTCAAACTTCGAGGGCTATGTGCAATCGCTTTCCGAATGTTTTCTTTTTTTTTTTTTTTGTTATATTGGTACACAAGCCATCAACATATGTTGTGTTGACATTATCAGCCATTTGACATTTTGAGTTCGTTTTTAACAGATGTAAAAGATAGACGTGTTATAGCGTGTTTGGCGATTTTTTGCTCTCGAAAAAAATGGATAAAAAAATCTATGTCAAATTTTGTGTGAAAACTAAAATTAAGTACTCCAACTAACTTCAAATGCTTACTGTGGCATTGGCCAAGTCTGCTTTAAGCAAAAGAAAAAGTTTTTTTTGGTGGTGTAGGCTATTCATTAACGACCAGGAAGATGTTAATGACGAAACACACCAAAATTTATATTTACTTCTCTCATTCTCGTTAAATTAAATTGAAAAATGGCCTGCATTTGTCTATAGGGTCGAATATAATCGGCAAACAACTGAAAGCAACAAATCTATTCGCACAAGTTTCTACTGTTTATCATATGACAAATTTCCCACGACTTTTCGGAGTTAGCTCATTGTATGGTATATTAAGTTACATACTTTATGTCACGGATATTACTTTTTATTTGTTTCTATGTTAACGCTGCACCTGCTTTTATTGAACTTTGATAGATAAAGATAGCAAGACATATCCACGTACATATTATACAATGTTATGGAATGGGGGCAACACATTATTCTCATATCAAACATATTTGCTTACTTCCGCATAAAAAGTAACGAAAAGAAGCGGACAAACAAATAAACAAACAAATGATTCTAAACGATATGTTTTTAAGCGAACATAATATTTATTTCTTGCGATCATTATTTTTAGATTAATGCGGTGAAGTACTCGGCCTATACCTATTATCTATGAACAACAAAATTTCTACTTTTATGTGAAAGGTAATTTTTTTTTTAATGAAATTTCGTTTACTTTGATTTTTATGATTTAACAATTAATTATAAAATTTTATATTACTTTCTAGATAATTGTTGAATTGAGTGATTTTCATATGAAAGTGCAATCAGAATCCAATCTTTGATTAACATTACGAATAGTAATTCATTTTAGGAAAATGTCATAACCCTTCGGACGGATATTGTTGTTCCAAATTAAAAAAACAATTTGTACAAAAAAATAATTCATTTAATATTTCAGAGAAACTGATTTATTTGAAATGCGCGAATATTCATTCCATTTACCGTGTTTGTGTTCGACCCATTCGTTTTTCTTCAGATTAGTATTTATCATGACAAAATTTCTCATCGTTTTTATGATAAATTACATTTCTGCTGAAATTAAAACTTTTTCTTCTCTGTATATATTTTACGCACACAATTGCAATTTTAATTGTGTGTATATAAACTTTAAGCATACATACATATAAACAAACATACAAAAATACATACACGCACGTAAGCATTCACACAAGCGTAAACATACATACAAATATATACTATAGTACATATAATCTTTTCATTTTAAGTTCGTTTTCGATCATTTAATTTAAATCCATGTAACTATGCGAGTGTATATGCATTATTACTCAGAGTTATTAAATCCGCGCTATCCATATTTATTCACCATCTCTTTTAGTATTCTGTGTATATATATGTGTATATATGTATATTTATATTAAAACAAAAAGAAAAGAAAAACACTCATAAATATTTGACCGTTACAAACGCTACACATAAACACACTATTACAAGTAGTGGTCTGTTGGAATTTTTTCTCACCTTTATTAATATTTAATGAACTTTTTGCTGTATGTAACATGCGTACTTATATTTTTAATAAATTATTAATTCAATTTATTTGGTTTTGTATTTTCAAAAAAATAAATAAATAAACAAAATAAACACATTTTATTTAATTTTTTCGATAAAAATAAATTTTTTTTTGATTTTTTTTTTTTAATATTTTGCATTGAAGTTTTTTCTTTAAAAACTATATTCACCATAAATTGAATTGAAAATTAATTCATTTCTTCTTCATGAATTTCTCTCGAGTTTTAAATTAAGCATAAGTAGGAAAATCGTTTATATATATTTTTTTTCTTTTTGATATTAATATTTTCATTAATATATTTATTCTTAATGCCTTTTGCCTTAATGCCTTTTATTATTTTTATTTTAAATCCGTTCACACGTTAACACTTGCGCTATCGGGAAAATGCTATAAGTTATCCGCTCGGAGGCTAAAAGCCTACTGGATTTCTTTTTTCTTCCGTCAATATGAGTGAGTAATTTTTGGTTACTCAGCACAACTAACAATAGCATCTCGTCATCGCAGTTCTTTTATGTACGATATTCTACTAAATAGTAGCGATTTGACTTCGACATAGAAACAGAAGAAAAAAAATGAAGAAAATTATGGAAATTCTCCCCATACATACACACACACAGACACATACACATCATACACATCCACGTAGATACGCATTAACACATCCAAAATACTCTCTCCTTCCCTTATTATATATGTGTTTTCCAAACGTTTTATCCTTAAAAGTGTTTAAAAACCATGTGTTGGAAGATGTTTTTTTTAAACATATATATTTTTTAATCTTCTTTCATTACAGATGAATTTTCAAATATACATTTTTGAAAAGATTTAAAATTACATACATATATTCTCTTTCTATTTGTCTTTAAAAAGAAAAAAAAATCTTTCATTTTTCAAATAGATTTTGTTATTATTTAAAAGCATTTTGATTGATTATCACTTTTTCGATAAAACGGATTTTACTTTCTTTTATATATTTTGTATATTTCCAAAACGTGCAATATTTAGAAAACAGTGTTGCGTATATTACACACAGGCACGCACAAAAACACCCGCACACAGACACAGAGGCAATTATACATTCATACGACGAGAAAGGATCTAAACTTTCCTGTTGCAGCATGGTATTACTGTTTTCAGAGATTCTCCGCAAAGGCTGTTATGTTAATGTTCTCTCCTTTTTTTTACGCTCTCTTGCAGCATTAACTGGAAGTAAGTGTAAACTTACTACTCACTTTCCTATTCTCTTTTTCGCTCTCTGTCTATCTATTTCTTTCTCTCTCCCTCTCTCACCATCTTATTCATTCCTCTTTCGGCAAAGATACTTACTCCTTTGCCATCATAAAAGTTGACAATCTGAATGCTTAGGAGGGTGATATGCTAACAAGTGGAGCAACAGTTGAAATGAATGAATTATTGTGAGGGTAATGTAAAAAAAGAATAAACACATTTATATGCATGCAAACATATTCATATACAGACTTATTTATATGCACTTTTGCATATGCAAATATTTAAGCGTACAGCATAACAAGTTTTCACTTAAGCAATTCTTCTTCATATATTTCGAGAGGATAGCTTTTGCGAAACTCGTAAAGTTAACACTGTCCCGGTAGGTCCCCCGAGGCTGCTAAATTTACAATACATTAGTTAAATTTACAATAAATTAGTTTACTTGTAAATTGCAATATTTTTTCATAAACGCGCTCACCTTTATAAAGATTGATTATTCGGATATGAACGTGTTCACGATAGTTCGATATACGGTTCTCAATATTTTTATTCGGTTTTTTTGATTTGTGTTTTTTTAATTTCCTGTAAAGACTTGTGTGCTGAGAGCTCTTTTCATACGCGCACGTATTAGAGGATAAACTCTAAAGCTGGGGATATAGTTGTCGTAAGTGATGGCAGGTTATGTCACTGAAAACATCGGGAAATGTTCACTCTCGCTTCGTTGTTAACAATTAATGATCATAATGATTGTATTCGACGTAGTGGTTTGAAGAGAAACGCAACAGCAACTGGTGACACAGAGAAAGACTTTGTCTTTGGCTTTGAAAGTTGCCATTAAAGGTTGCATTTAATTATGGCATAACATCTATCGTATTTGTGATAAAATTACTTAGTTTGGCCTAATTTTTTTTTTTCTTTCTTATAGTAACGTCGAAGCATTCATTAGTTTATACCATTTTGCTCAAGACCCGAACTTTTATCGAACTGAGAATCTACTCTTTTTCTATTTAAATAAATTGAAATAATGAGCAATTTTGGTGTTTTCTAAAACACAAGCTTTTATTATCAAACACAAACAGACACATACAAACCCACACAGGCGAGTGCACAAGCATTTACAGCGCGAAATATTTGATATAAAAGAAGTCGCGTTTAATTGCGTTGAAAGGCATAATTAAAATTAAGACAATGCTACTTTTCGCAACATGGCAAGCGAACGCTATTGTTTTCATCGCTTTTATGAAACCAATGGCGGCAGAGTAGCACAAAAGACAAAAATATAAACATAAATGTAATTACCGATAGTATGTGAAAAACAATGCCAAACTTAGCGGTAAGTAAAAAATAATATAGCCTACTTTTAGGGTTAATGTTTAAGTCTTCCTTATATGTAAAGTTACATCAAAGCAAAGTCTTTTAGCCATTCCATGCAATTACGTTTAAAATTTCATGTTCTCCGTTTGGAACTTAAACAGGGTCATTTTTTTCTAAATTTATATGTACAGAAAAAAAGACAAAAGCAAAAAAACAATTTGTATCAAAAAACGAAAGATTTATGAACATATCGGTTGTTTATATGAAAGTAATGCTACCTTGCGGCGGCGAATTTATGGGTTATTTTCTCAAATGTTTTTACGAAAGATTAGCTAATATATTAAAACCAATTTTTTACAAATATTTGTACATTATTTGTACATCATGTTTCTTTTTTTTATATAACTCCTCCCTGGATATATATATATACGTGCAGGCCGTAGTTTAGTTACTAAAACAAACAATTAAAATAACTCTTGAAATATTATACAATGCCTGGTGAATTCGGCAAAAGTTCTTTGAAAATATAGGTGTAAAGAAAAAGGCGTCGACTTAAAGGGAAAACAATATATGTTTTTTTTCTACAAAACGAATCTGTCGAAAATCGTTGGTACATGTACACAACATTTTTTTTCCGAATTTTTAAGGATAAAATGGAGGCGTACCATCTTATAGCAAACAATCGTTTCTTTCTGTATGGCAACGATACCGTACCGATCTATTATCATTTAAACCAATAAGAAGGGACTTACTTATAATCGCTTCTTGAATTGCTCTATGCGATCTGAAGTACGAAAGTAAAACGGAAACGCACACAATATGTCTAAACGAAGAAGAAAATATTCAAATAACTACTCCAAGCAAATTGACTGCAAATTAGTGACATTTGCAGGACAAAATTGGGTTAAGATAAGAGAGAAGACTTTTAAGTATTGTGTTCTGGATTGCTAATGATAGTTAACTATGCAGAGACGTTTCTTACATTTCAAATCCTTTTCTGGGAAGAGGTGTTTGAAGCTCGCAAAAGGAAAGTTTTACCAAACTATTCATCCTGAAGGCAATGTTCGCGACAGTTCAGCTGTGTAGAGCACGCGCCACTAACAATTATCGATGAAGCGAACTGTTAACACAATTTTGGAAAATTAAGCATGGGCGGCTAATCATCATATTATCTATATACAATCGAACTGTTATCAGCCCACAAGTGCAATGTATGCTGGTACGTAGCCTGTTACTAAGTTTTCTTAGATACTTTATACTGTCATGAAAGTAAATTCTTATCGAACTATTATTATTATTATTATTATCACAAAGTCGTCTTCTAAACAATTCACTTAAAATTTTCGCAAAGAATTTATTATACAGTAATGTCTTTCCAAATGTGTCCATTAATTTAGTTTCCTACGAGCGAATTATCGAGCTTTCTTTGAACGTCTTCAGGGCCCGAGACCAGAAAATAGGAAATCATTTTGTATCAATGTGAATTCATATTATTTTCAAGTTATGAGAAATCTACAATTTATATAATTTAAATTTTGAACTTATCATGGAAAAAGTTCCGTAAAGCCTTTATTAAATTTGACTATGTTTTGTTTAATTATATTTTAAATATTATATGTATATATATTATCTTATTTGAGTGCTTATTAAAAAATTGTTTACATAAGATATGATAAGTGATGCTGAAAATCATCTCACAAATTGCACTGTCGTCAGTTAAAAATTCTTTACGACAAGTTCAGACGTATCTTCGACGCTATGAATCTTGCTAATACAGACAGGCCCAAAATTGTTGATGCCACTGATAGCCTACCTAGATTACAGAGCTATTCGAAATCGCTCGACTTCGGGCCGGAGCACCATCAACAACATCAAATTAAGGAATATCATCTCAAAATGCCGTGATAAACTTAACATGCTGTGTATACCAAGTCACAGTGGTCTATTGGGAAATGAGCAAGCTGATCGAGCGTTGCTTCTATACCTGTAATTATGGACGATATCATGAGCAAATTACAAATCATAACCTTCTCGAGAATTCGCCTTGGCCACACAACTGTAATACATCAAAGGATCTTCTTTTCCAATCTGCAATTATGGAAAAATTCTCATAATGAAGCGCAGCCTTTGAGATTGCCTTAACTTTTGCTTTATAGGAAAAATCGCACTCGGAACAATCAATCCTATGGACATCCCGAAATCAGCTACAGAAAGCGATATCAATTCCATATATTACTTTACTAAAATTACTTGGCTCAACATTTGATTTTCTTCTCTATAATACAGCTGATAGCCTATGTTGTCAGTGCAGAAGAATTTATTTCATTTGTCTAAGAATTATAATAATAATAATAATAAATTTATTCATTTTTCTATTTAGTTAGATAAAAAATATTTTTTGGTAAAGCATGATCAAAAAGTAAAATTTACGAAAATAAGAAAGGTGCATCCTTTCCGCTGCATTACCCTCATAGTAGTTGGCATAAATACCAAAAGTCAATAAATTATCAGTTTCCGATGTTAGCTGATGGGAGACCTCGTATGAATCCCTGCAAAGGAAAGTTATTTTCAATATAAAAGTTTAAAAATTCCAGAAAAAGAGAGCACGTACCCTTGGAGCGATTTTGACCAGTTTATTTTACTGGCTGGAACCGGCAGCAAATTGCTTTTCAAACTGTTGGGCATTATTAGAAGGTGTTTCGATCTCTTGAATAAGCCCTTTATTGAAATGCTTAGAAATACTGCAGAAGAATTCAAATTACCAGGCGTCGATAGTTCACCACAACTGGAAACAGACTCAGTAACACAAGCGTACAAAGAGCATATTTTTATATTGTTCCACTCTTTTTTCTCATATGTACGCTTGCCATCGAAAACACCTAAACGATAGTAATAATTAGGCATCGAAGAATTCATTGTCGACGTGCTTATGTTGAATTGACAGCATAGGTTTCCATGGCATAAGGTCTTTCCATCCATATCGGTTTCTTGTTGAAAATTCAACAAAATCGAATTGAAATTTTCAATCTGAGGATCCTTTAATAAACGCAAGTATTTTGGCAAATTATACGCAGTCATGGTTGACGAAGTCAAGTTAGATAGAGAAATATTTAAATTCCTTTTGGGTACTTTTGCTTTATACAGCTTTCTTTCTCCCACGTTCCCCGTAACCATAACTGATACTAAAATTCCATTTTCACCCGCATATATACCAGAACCCGTACTGCCATTTACGGGATAACTAGCGCCGGCCGCTAGCAAATTGACATTATTACCCCATGACCAACCCATTTGCAATTGCGCCGCTGCAAGATATGAGCGTTAGATAATTAAATAAGTAATTAGTCCTTTTTCATTCACCGGTCAAGAAAGGCAGCTCCGAGTAAAATTTGCTTGTAAATATTATATCCGTTATACCAAATCGTTCCACCAACTCTTGAGCGGGCGTATAAAACAGAATATCAAAACATATAAAATGTCCAAAACGCACCCCAAAATCCGTCTCAAATATACCATATTCCTGCTCGTAGCTGGTGTTCTTATTTTCGACATAAACGTGGGTTTTCCGATATCTCGATATCACGCGACCATCGCGATCGAACACCACGTTTGTATTAAAAATATTTAAGCCATTGTGAGAACATGGGCGCGGATCATTGGCATTTATCCAACAAATTTCCTTTTCCGTTAAATTAATCACTAAATATTTTTTAAATCTCTGCGCTGCACATGATAATTCGACGAGAAAATCAGCATAAATATTGTCTTCCTCGGACAATGAGCAAGGTATAACGTTATCCTTCTTCGAAGGTACATACGTCAGCTGGAAATCCTTATTTAACGTTCCTTCAGGAAACACTATAATATCAACGTCTTCCGCTTCAACTGATCCTATCATCTCTTTATAAGCTTGCAGATGGGTGCTTAAAGCATCGGTCGTACCAATTGCTTCCGGGCGAAATTCTGCTACACCTGCTATATAATAAAATTGTTCGGCGAGACCATCAGATTGCCTCTACAAGAGTTGCTTATCAAAATAATTGATTAATTGTTGTTTTAAACTTAAACTTACCAATGAAGAGCATCGCTTATTGAAAAGTAAAACTGAAAAAATCAATTTTAAAATTTGTATAGGTTTTGAATTCATTTTAAATGCTTCAGACTGTGACCTGGAATGTAACTTGAGCTCTATTAATTAACTAATTTACGGCATCGACGCTCATTAAAAATCCAGTTAGCTCTTAACATTTTTTATGTAATATTATTTGATGTTCATTTTTGTAATGCGCTCTTTATTCGTTTATTCGTGTATACGTGTACGTCTTCTTTTATAAGTTTTTGCTTTTGCTCAAACAATCTTATCGAATTTAATGAGAGATTATAAAAGTTTAATGAAGAGTAAATATGGTAATATAGGTTAAAAATGACTGCTGATCACAGCTAATTGCAGCATTTTCCGTTCGTCATCACATTAATAATGTAAAGCTGAACGGAAACCTCTACCAGATCACCCTACATTGAAGAACATTGCAAGGCTGCCTTTGTAACACTTTCTATTTACTTCAAAAAAAAGGGAGGGAAAAAAACCCAACCTTGATATTCGAATAAAATTCAACTTTAAACTTTAATTTAAAAACACAGAAAACTCATGCACAAAAAAACTGACCTCCTTTGAGTGCAAAAAATAACAGAGCAAAATTGTTCATCTTTATGCGCTTTACTACCCTACTCTACTATTCAAGTTGCTTGAACTGTTAATGCGTAAATAGGCAATTATTTATTTGCCTATTAATTGAGTGCACACACACACACAGACACGCCAATATCTTATTCTCTCTTGCACGAACATTGAATGCTCGCATAAGCAGGTGAATGCAAGCGTAACTCGGAGAATAACAGAGATAACACGATCGTATATTAAAATTCATGTTTCGCTTTTAAATTTGAACATTTGGAACAATTTCTTTCTATTTAATCTTAAGTCGTCAGACTAGTTTCATAGAACTATATAGCTTCCAAGTTCTATATAATCAGCATTTACGACAAGTAAATGTGTAAATATTCTTTTTTTAGTACCGATTTACTCACCATATTTATTTTTATATTTTATTTTTTTTTATTTTTTTTCATTTTATTGGAAACCACGTATTTACGAGCTTATCTGTTTATCAATGTCAGTCAAGCGGCAATATCAACGATAGGAGTTATTTGTGTGTGTG